GCCCTGGGCAGGGGGTATCCCATGGAATGGGGGCTGGAATCAGAGCCCTGGGCAGGGGGTATCCCATGGAATGGGGGCTGGAACCAGAGCCCTGGTGCCTTGGGAGCCGCCGGATCCCTCCCTCTGGAATGACCCGTTTGCTCTCTCCACCGGTGATGGAGAAGCTCTTGGATGTCTCCTGGTCCTTCCCTCTGCTGGAAAGGCCCCACGGGCACATCCCGCTCCATCCAGGAGAGCTCGGATAACTGGGAGCAGCGGGGAAAAACAACCCCCTGAATCCCTTCACGGAAAACCGCGTGGCTTTGGGTCCTTCACCCCTGTTTTTTGGAGCTCCTTCCCTGCCAGCTGAGCCTGGGAGCGGGTGGAGATGATTCCAGGCGGGTGGAGATGATTCCAGGCTGGCTGAGGTGATTCCAGGCTGGCTGAGGTGATTCCAGGCTGGCTGAGGTGATTCCAGGCGGCTGGAATGTGGCTGGCTGGGAGCCTGGAGCGTGTGTGGGCTGTGGGATGGCCGGGATGCAGGGCTGGATCTGTCCCAGGGGAGACGATGCTGCTCCTCCCGGAGCCGGTGGAGGATCAGCCCTTCCCCGTCTCCGGGGGGGTTGGAAATGGCAGGAATTCTTTAATTCCGGCACTGAAAGGATCGCTCGGTTGATCGGAGGGATGGAGCAGCTCCGCAGGGAGGAAAGGCTGGAATGCTGGGATTGTTCGGCCTGGAAAAGAGCAACTTGGGATAGGGGAAGGTGTCCCTGCCCGTGGACCTGGATGATCTTTAATGTCCCTTCCAACCCAAACCATTCCAAGATTCCCTGAAATGTCGGCACAAAGCCCCTCTCCAGCGCAGCCAGGATATTCCTGGCCCTGGGAACAAACTCGTCCCTGCTCCCCCCTCCCTCTGCACCTGCAAAAGGATGATTTTTTTATCATGCTGAGCCGAGTTTTTGGCCAATTCCTGGTTTTCCTGGCTGTGATCCAGTGCAATCCCTGATCCTGGGAGGATTCTCCTCCCCATCCTCTCCCTCAGCTCCAGCTCCGAGCTCCCTGTGCTGTTCCCTCCTAACTCTGGAGCTCATTTTTGAGCTGATCAGCCCTGGCAGATGCTCCAAGTGTGTTTTTAATTCCTTTGGAATTGTTTTCCTTGGCCCTGTTTTCTGACAGACACCTGAAAGAAGCCCCTTTCCCAACTCCGTGGGTTGTTCCACATCAGGATCACTTAATTACTTCATCTTCCCTGCCAGGAATCATCATCTACATCCAGAAAAGCAGCAAAGGAGAAACCACTGGCTTAATAATTATATTTTTCCCTTCTGCTTTTCAGGCTGAATTTCGATGGTGATGGAGAAGGGAACAGTAAATCCCTCGGGTGAGGGAGGACGTGGCATCCAGAAGTTTCTCACGTGGCATCCTCTGGTCTTAGGGTTGTCTGTGTGTTTTCCCTGGAGTTCCCCCCGTGGCTTTTCCTCTCTGGAAGCATCAGGAAATGCTCCACTTCCTTAAAACTCTTCCCTTTCTCCCAGTCAGCGGAATTTCCACTTCTGGAGCTTTTCTTGCTGCCCCGGACACGTGTTAATTAATCCTCATCTGTCGTAAGGACGCTCCGATTCCAGGGACATCCTTATTCCCGAGGAGTTGCCGAGGCTGGGAGGGATCAGAGGGGTCCTGAGGGGGCTCCTGGTGTCTCTGGGTGGTCCCTCAGTGTGGGCCTTCAGGGAATATCAGGCCGGGGAGGCCGCAGGGATGCTCTGGACTGTCCCAAAATCCAGCTCGGACGTCTGTGTCCACCTCCACCCACTGCCCTTGCTGGGTGCTTTTCCCTGGCTGCCCCTCTGACATCCCTCACCATCCCGTGCCAGGAGCCACATCCCGTTCCAAAAACCTCATCCAGCTCCTCCTGTCCTCCTCCAGCGTTTTTGGGGATCCCGTGGGAAGGCGCCCCGGGAGAAACGATGGGTTTAACGCTCCCTGGGGCGCAGGTTCCCACCGTCCCCACAGCTCCTTCTCGCTGCAGAGACCAGCCCTGCTGCAGAGCTTGTTTCCCCCCTTCCCTGCTTTCCCCCCCTCCCTGTTTTCCACTTGGAATCGCTGGGGGTATTAAATAAAAAATCAGCTGTTTGTGCAGCTCGTGGAAAGCGGTTCCTCCCCCCCCCCGCCAGCGCAGCCCCCGCAGCGGCTCAGGGGGCTCCTAAAATCGCAGCTGGGAGGGCTGAGAGGTTTTTCTGCAGCTCCCCTCGGGGGGGGAGAAAGGGGCGTGAAGGATCAGAGGGAGCCTATGGAGGTGGTCTGGCGGCTCCACAACCCTGGAATCGCTCCCAGACCCTCCCAGGGCACCTATTCCCGAGGTGTTTCCCTGCGGGATCTCAGGGACGATCCCCTCCAGGCGCCGTTTCCCCCCCCGGGTTCTGGGAAGGGGGCGGTGGGTGGGAGCCCCCCGGGACGCTCCCGCTGGCTCTGCATCCCGGGAAAGCCCCGTTTCCAGGCGCCTTTTCCCCGTCCCCAAGGGCCCGGCGGGAGCCTTGGCAGGGCTGCGCCCGGCGTCGCTCCCGTTAATCCGGGCACTGATCCCGCCTGATGCCGCAGGGTCGGGGGTCACCGGCAGCCCCCGCCATAACTGCTCAGCATCCTCGCCGCCGCTTCTCCTGCCCGCTCCCCCCCCCCCCAATTATTACACCCCGGAGAGAGAGCTAATTAACACGCCGGCGGGTGCCCCGCGATGCTCCGCGTCCCACGGGCTGCGGCGGGAGGCGGCTCCGCTCCTCCCCGTCTCTCCCTCCGCTGAGTCTTTTTTTCTTCCCCCCCCCCTCTCCGCGAGCGCGGAGCCGCTCCGAGGAGCAGGAATGGAGCGGGAATTGCCCCGGAGCAAAGCCCGGCTGCCCTCGCTGCTCCTGGCGCTGCTGGGGCTCGGCCCAGGTGAGTGCGCGGACCCCCCTTTCCCCCTCCCCAGCCGCGACCCGCGGGAGGCTCGTGGTTAAAAAGGGGGGGTGGGCGCGGGGCTGCGGGACCCCCCATCCCGCCTCTTCCCACCCTCCCACCCGAGGTGGGCTCTGGAACGCCGGTTCCAGCCTCAAGGAGAGGTTCGGGGACGACCCCCGGGTCCGTCCGACCCCGTTTTTGTCGCTCCCCCCCCCCTCCCGAAGCCCCTCGAACCCCCCGGGGCCGCTCCGGACCCGCCCGCGAAGCGGCTCCTTACGTAAAGCGGGAGCGAGGAATCCCCTCTTAATTCCCGGCGCGCTAATCCCCCGCGTTTAATAATTCCCGTAAAACCTCCCAATTCCTGCGGAAAGCATCTGATAGTACAGGCAGATTAATTGGGGGGGGGGGGGATTTTCCTGGCGGTTAATTGGCCTCACGAGCGGGATGGGGCTGGCGCCAGCGCCGGGCAAGTGGCACAAGGTGATGCCAAATATCTGCCCCGGCTCGGTGGGAAAAGCCTGTTTTCCACGCTCCGGAGTTCTCCAGCTGCTTTCTGGGATGGGAATTATTTTATGGCAGAACGTGGGGAGCGGGGAGGGCGAGGAAAAGCGCAACCCAGGCTCGGGGTGAATAAACCCGAGGTTAAAATCGACCCCGGAGATCTGTTTTTTGGGGGGTCTGAGGAAGGCTCGAGTCGGGCTAATCCAGATGCCGAATGCATCGAGCATCAACACATTTATCCTCCTCCCTCCTCCCCCCTCCCCTCCGGATCCTGCAGCGGAGCCGGGGCTGCGGAGCCTCGTGTTCCAAAAAATCTGGGGTAAACAGGATGAGCCGGGAGGATGCCGGGGAGGCGCTCGGCGGAGGCCTGGCACCAACCAGGCTTTTCCCGGCCGTCATTTCCTCCGGCCGCCCCTCCGACAGCGCGGGGGCGGCCGGCGGGGACCCCCCTCCCGGGGCGTAGATGTTGCACGGGAGGGTGGGAAACCTCCCGGGAGGAGGAGGAGGATGAGGAGGGTGCCCCGCGTGAGTCCGCCCGGCGGATGGACGGACGGACACAGGAGCGGCTCCATCCTTGGCAGCGAGGAAACTGGGGAGAGAGAATCTCTCTGAGCTCCTCCATGAGGAGACTGACGGGATTTTGGAGGCTTCTCCCCCCTCCCAGTTCTGTTTTGCTGCTCGGGCTCAGCGTCCTCCCCCCGGGCTCCCGCGGCTTCACGGGGGCCCCCCCAAAACTTTGCGTTCGCCCGCTTAAAAGTGTTCGGGAATTCATTCGGGTTTCAGATGGGGCTGGAAGAGCAGGAATCGAGCCTGGGATAAGCGGGATCGGAGCAACGAAAAAGCTCCAGCGCCGCGGGGACGCGTCTTACAGAGCGGAGCAAAGATGCGGCTCGTCCTGGGGGGCTGCCGGGGGGGTTTTACATCGAGTAAACGCTGCGCTGTCGGTGTTTAATCTGCTTTTTAATGTACGGGCTCAGCTGCTTCTGCCTCCTCCGGGGAGGGGAGCAGGGAGACGATCCCGGGAATTCACGACCCGTCCCAGGCAGGATGGAGCCGATGCCGCTCATCCCAACCCGCCTCCCCCGTTCCTGGGCGGCTGCGTGGGACGGGGAGAGGGAGAGGGAGAGAGGGAAGGGAGGGGGGTGTTCTGCGTGGCAGAGAGGCGTGGGGGGATGCGGGGGCCGGGGCCAGCACAGGAGACAGCTTGGAAGTAGGCGGGAGCTGCCAGGAGCGAGGGAGGTGGTGCCGAGCGGCTCCTGGCATTGGGATTTTTGCAGGGAGCTCAGGATGCTGCAAAAAAAAAAAAGAACAAACCCCAAACCACCCGTGATGGAGGCTCAGAACCTGCCCCTCGGGCCCAGCCCGCTGGGATCAGGGAGAAGCTCCATCCTTGAGGGAATCACCCATCCCACGGGTCGGCAGGGGCTCCATCTCTGCCTGAGCAGCTCTTGGCATCGGGAGTTTTTAGCAGAGATGCTGCAAAAAAACCACAAACCACCCCGTGGTGGAGGCTCAGAACGTGCCCCTCGGGCTGGGGGAGCTGCCGGGATGAGGGAGAAGCTCCATCCCCGTGGGAATTGCCCTGATCCCACAGGTTGGAAGGGACTTCGTTCCTCCCTGGAGGTACCAGGAGTGAGGGAGGTGACGCTGAGCGGCTCTTGGCATCGGGATTCTTGGATCAGGGAGCTGAGGATGCTGCCAAATAAAACCAAACCACCCGTGGTGGAGGCTCAGAGCCTACTCCTCGGGCTGGGATAAGGCAGGAGGGAAAAGGCTCCATCCCTGTGGGAATCACTCATCCCACAGGTCGGCAGAGGCTCCATCCCTGCCTGGAACTGTCAAGCAGCTCTTGGCATCAGGATTTTTGCAGAGATGCTGCAAAAAAGAACTCAAACCCCCGTGGTGGAGGCTCAGAACGTGCCCCTCGGGCCGGGATAAGGCAGGAGGGAAAAGGCTCCATCCCTGTGGGAATCACTCATCCCACAGGTCAGCAGGGGCTCCAGCCCTCCTTGGAGCTGCCAGAAGTGAGGGAGCTGATGCCAATCGGCACCTGGCATCAGGATTTTTGCGGAGATGCTGCAAAAAAATACTCAAACCCCCGTGGTGGAGGCTCAGAACGTGCCCCTCGCGCCGGGATAAGGCAGGAGGGAAAAGGCTCCATCCCTGCGGGAATCACCCATCCCACAGGCTCCCGGGGGCTCCATCCCTGCTGGCCCGGCCCCCCCAGCCCACAGGGACCCCCCCGGAGCCGTCCCTGCTGCCCCCCCCACCCCCTTAACCCTTGTCGATCTTCCGCAGGGCTCTGGGCGGAGGCGCCGTTTAAGGCGGACAATGAGGTTTTGGAGGTGTTGGCTGGGAATTCCTCCCAGACTCTCTTGGAGCGTTGTTCTGGTGAGAGCCTCGGGGTTCAGATGGGGCCCCCACATCCGAACCTGGCAGATTCCTTCGTATTTTTTAGCTTCCGCTCCCCCGAGCTTGGCATCCCGCTGGGGCACCCGCGTCCGAACCTCGTAGATCCGTCACGCTTTTGGCCTCCAGTCCCCGAGACCGGCATCCCGACGGGGCACCCGCGTCTGAACCTTGTAGATCTTTCATAGTTTTGGCTTCCAGTCCCCCCGACCCGGCGTCTTTCCCTCTCTTTCTGGGGACACACCCCGTCCCCGGCTTGGATAGGGAGCAGTGGAGAGACCAGGCGGCCGCGCCGAGGCGGGAGATGCTGCTCGGACCCGTCCCCGAATGTCCTCCTGTTCCTGCCTTGTCCCCGCCCTGTCCCCGCGCTGTCCCCAAACACCTCCCGGTGACTTTCTCCTTGTCCCAGAGCTGCTCTTCGGCCAAGCCCGGGCGCAGCCCCAGCAGGTCAACGGCGTCCTGGGGGGGTCGGTGCTGCTCTCCCCGGCTCTGCCCCCCAACAAGACGGTGAAGGAGATCGAGTGGAGCTTCTCCGCCGGCACCGGGGCCATGATCCAGGTGGCGGAGTTCAGCCGCGGCGGGTTCGAGCGCCCCGATCCCAGGGATCGCTTCGGGAAGCGGCTGGAGAGGTACAACGAGACGGCGCTGAGGATCCGGGCCCTGGAGAGGGGCGACAGCGGCGTCTACGGGGCGAGGATTAAACTGCACCCGGCGCTGGTGGAGGATCAAACCTTCAACCTCTCCGTCTACGGTGGGTGATGGAGGCGCTGAGGGAAGAAAGCCCCGAGTGTGAGCTCTAAACCCTTTAGAGGTCGGGGAATCTGAGCACAGAGCAGCGATGGGGGCGGAGGGTGAATAGTGTGAGCACCGACCCCTTTAGCTGTGGGGAAACTGAGGCACGGGGGGGCTTTGAGGGTGAACAGAGAGCCCCGAGGGTGAGAAATAATCCCTTTACAGGTGGGGAAACTGAGGCAGGGAACAAGGGTGGGGTTGGAGGGGGAACAGAGAGCCCCGAGGGGGAGAAATAATCCCTTTACAGGTGGGGAAACTGAGGCAGGGAACAAGGGTGGGGTTGGAGGGGGAACAGAGAGCCCCGAGGGGGAGAAATAATCCCTTTACAGGTGGGGAAACTGAGGC